GCGGGGCATGAGAGGCACCTGCGGCTTCTGGGGCACGTGGCTGGGGTAGGCGGCATACGTGGCACCCACTGTACAGGCGCCACCTCCAATGGCGGATACCATGAGTGGGGGCACACAGCGCTGTGCGTCACCAGAGATGTTGTTTAGGGGCGGATTTGATCGCAGCAAGCCAAGTGAGGTCGCTCGTGTCTAGATCTAAATGGATCTAACCAGATTCAACTAGGAGAGAAGAAAGCGAGTAGAAGAAAGACTTAGTAAGTCAGTCGGTAAGACAAAACATCGCCTGGGATGTGTGTGCGTACGCGTTTCGGCAACAAAGCCTTCATCAGCGCAGTGCTAGTCTAACTGACTAACTCATCATCCCTTTTCTACTCTGTCTCTCCCTCCCGTCGTCAGCAAACCTCGGGAAATATCCCAAGTCGCGATTGAACTACTACTTAGAGAATTGCTACGCCAGCTACCTCTACAGCTATCTATCTAGCTGTCCATGCATGCAAAATTCTACCGAGGACGTTGTTCACCAACTTTCTGGTGGTACCCATTCTCGTTACAAAATAGAACCACGCTACACCAATTTAGCCCTAACTAACTTGTTACCAATCTTATATGGAAGTCGCCAAGCTGATACAAACCGAGGCTGATGTAGTCCATTTTGTTTGAGGTTGATTTTGAGAATTCTCAAAAATCCCCCCAGCCCGAGCTCCAAATTTCTTGGACACCTTCGTATCTTCAGGGCCAGGGGGGCTTCCCTCGATTTCTTGAACATGTAAGTCTTCAAACGTTGCTGCCGGTTTTCATGTTTAACTGTCTTGAGAGTCTTCTGAAGGAAATAGTCAGGGTAACCTCTCGCTCTTAAGCGTTTGTAGAAGGCCTTCTTCCTGATCAGAAAGGTGTCAAAGGAAGTATTCCGGATGCAGTGGCGGTTCAGCTCACTGCTGGTGAAACCCGTTCTGCACTCCCTAGAGTGAAAGGAGGAGAACGGGAGATACAAGTATCTATTGAGTGGTTTCTGGAAGGTTGCCACATCGAATAGACCTTGACGTTTGAACCTGTCTCCTTTATAGAGGGTGAGGTCAAGGAAATTAATGGAAGTCTCACTAATCTCCCAGGTCAGCTTGCTGGTCGGTCTCAGGTTGTTGAAGGTACTGAGAAACTGCTCAAGTTCCACAAGTCCCTTGTCCCAGAATATCAACAAATCGTCGATATATCTGAGATGAAGAAGGGGATGGTGTTCAGTTCTCCAAGTGAGCTCTTTGTCAAGCCAGCTCATAAACAGGATGGCAAAACTCGGAGCCACTGGAGTGCTCATGGCTGTCCCCTGTACCTGTCGGTATACACAATTATCAAACATAACAACAGAATTGGTCATAACCCAAGTCAGAAGCCTAACAATGAGAGGACGAAGGGGATGTTTCTCCTTCAAAAGTATCCTATCCACTGCTTCCATCCCATCAAAAATCGGAATAGATGGATACAGACTTTTCACATCATATGTGCAGAGAAGAACTCTCTCCGGAAATGTCATCTCTTCCAAAGAAAGGACCAAAGAAAGGCTGTCTCTGAGACAAGTCTTCTTTTTTGAAAGAAGTGGCCGAAGCTGTGAGTCCAACCACTTGGATGCCATAGTGGTAACCCATGAGTGTGAGGCAGCAATAGGCCTACCCACTGGTTCCTTGTTATGCATCTTCAAAAGAACATAGAATGATGCAGGCTTCCAACCTGAAACTGGAGGCTTCTCAAGAGCATCCCATGTCTTTTTGTTAAGACAAGGTGAGAACTCAGCTCTGATAGAGGAGAAGCCAGCCAAGATGTGTGAAACAGAAACAAATGGGAGTTTCTGATACACATCGTCGTCCTCCAGATGTTGGAGGCAGAGGCGGATGTAGTGATCCCTATCCGTGATGGTCATACCCAAATTTTTATCTGCGGGTTTCACCACAATGGAAGAGTCTGCAGCAATAGACTTCAAAGCTCGTCTTAACTTGGGAGACAAGTTCGAGTGCCTCTTACTGGGTTGGGCCTGTAGAAGTTGTTGTTGAAGGATTCCCCTATGCTGCTCCAAAATCGTATCGAGTGTACCATTCCGTTTATCAGTCGGAACATCCCACAGTGAGTTCGGGATTCGAAACTGAGGCACTGGAGTCGATTCACCAAAGAATTCACGAAATCGCAGATTTCTGGAAAAGCCATGGAAGTCCCTCAAAGTCTCCAAGGCAGGAGAGTACTCACTAGAGGTTGGCGTCGAAATGAGTTTCAAACCAAGACCCAGAACCTTCTCTTCTTCTAAAGAAAGACGACGGCTACTCAGGTTGAAGATGCTACGGTTGTTGATCCGCCTCATCAGCTGTGACTCTGTCATCTGACTAAAGTAGTAAAGAGCGAGGTCCTGATCGGTTAAGTGCTCTAACCTCTCCCCCAAGGCGATCCTCTTCCTGGGGCACGCCCTCCTCCCCCCCTGCCGTAGCCTCCGTCTCCTCTACCTCTTCCCCTTCCCCATCCCCATCCCCCCCGTCCCCCCATCCCATTTTTTGGCTCCACGGAAGGATTCCTAGAGAACTCGTGCTGCTGTTGTCCCTGTCCCTGCGTAGGCCAAAAGGGCTGATGGGACTGTTGGAAATGAGCAGGATGGTGGTGGATGTGGTTGTGGGGTTGCCACTGCTGGTTAGAATTGGATGGGTTTGGGTTCCAGTTGCGGTGATGAGGAGGAGCAGAAGTCATATGCTGAACATTCTCTGTGTTCATAGAGGAAGTCCGTTGCTGCTGCTGCTGCTGCTGCTGCTGCTGCTGCTGCTGCTGCTGCTGCTGCACCTGCTGCCCACCCTTCTCCTTTTTCTTGACAAGATCCTCCAGAGCTTCCAACCTCTTGGTCAAGTCTGATTTCTTGAGCAATTCCGCTACGGTAGGTTCCAACTCCATATTCTCAGCAGCTGCCTTCGCATTCACCTTCCGTTGTGTCTCTTTCTGAGCCACCTCTTGAGCGCTCATGTACGCCAGGGTGTCTTCCAAGGCAATACCCTTGAGAGTCTTCGGAAACTGCTGCAGCAATATCTGCTCCCACATCTCAAAGCTGTCTCCAAAGACATTTGAAGGAGCTGTCTCTCGGGTTTTCTGCAAATTCTGTCGAAATTCCTCCTGAGCATTGCTAATCTGACCCGTCAGCTTCTGAAGCTCCCTGTCATGCAAAGCGATCGAAGTCTCGAAACACCGCTTCTTGTATTCTGCTTCCAGCTGCTTAAACTCTTCATCCCCCTTCAGCTTAATCTCCGCGTCACTACTCTTGAAGGTCATTGGCTCAGACTTGAAGCTCCTCGGTAACCTCAACTCAGAGAATAACGAACATAGGCGTTCTACCTTCGTTGTCAGCTTCAATTCCTTGATGAGTGCTTCGCGGTACAGCTTACTGTAGCCCTGAAGTTGCTGAAGGAAAATGTCTGGTATCTTATCTTCTTCCATGATCAAGTGTGAAGATCTGGAAGAGGATGACCCCGGCTGTCGCTGTTCATTCAGCAACATATTCACGGTTGCTCCCAGGATTTCCTGCTGCTGCTTAAGCAGTTGCTGCTGGTTAAACACTTGCTGCTGCAAGTCGGTCCCTCCTACAGCCTGTTCCGCAGCTCGTCCCTGCGCTCCAGCCGCGTTAATAGCAGCTACGTGTGCTGCCGCATCCGCCGCCGCCTGCGCAGCAGCCGCTTGCGCAACTCGTTCAGCTTCCATCTACGCGTCTAAGGCTGCTTCCTCTGCTTGGAGGGCAAGCTCAGTAGAAGGTGAAAACACAATTTCTTCTTTAGAAACCGGAATCACTTCAACACCAGCTGTAGGTGCTTCCGTAGTAACTGGTACCAGATCAGAAGAAAGTAGCGTTTTGGGTAAACTATGCTGTCTCAGGATCAAATCGTTATTGAAATCTCGAATTGCTGGTGGTAGAAGAAGCGAAGAGCTTGCTGTAACAAAACCTGGAAGTTGCTGTCCAAGAAGATTTATCTTCTTCGCAGCGTGTACAGGCAGAGTAGATCGTCGAAGAAGAGTGTCTTCTGGCGATCGCTCCGCGGCAGTACGTTTGACTCCTTGCTCTTCAGTCATGAAACGAAATACCTAACTAATATGCGAAACACACAAGTATCTATCAGAAGTTCGAATTTCGTACCAGAGACAAACTCGGGCTCGGCGAATCCCGAAACGCAGGCAAAATCGCCACCAGAGATGTTGTTTAAGGGCGGATCTGATCGCAGCAAGCCAAGTGAGGTCGCTCGTGTCTAGATCTAAATGGATCTAACCAGATTCAACTAGGAGAGAAGAAAGCGAGTAGAAGAAAGACTTAGTAAGTCAGTCGGTAAGACAAAACATCGCCTGGGATGTGTGTGCGTACGCGTTTCGGCAACAAAGCCTTCATCAGCGCAGTGCTAGTCTAACTGACTAACTCATCATCCCTTTTCTACTCTGTCTCTCCCTCCCGTCATCAGCGAACCTTGGGAAATATCCCAAGTCACGATTGAACTACTACTTAGAGAATTGCTATGCCAGCTACCTCTACAGCTATCTATCTAGCTGTCCATGCATGCAAAATACTACCGAGGACGTTGTTCACCAACTTTCTGGTGGTACCCATTCTCGTTACAAAATAGAACCACGCTACACCGATTTAGCCCTAACTAACTTGTTACCAATCTTATATGGAAGTCGCCAATCTGATACAAACCGAGGCTGATGTAGTCCATTTTGTTTGAGGTTGATTTTGAGAATTCTCAAAATCAGCCGCAACCCAGCAGCGAGTATGAAGATTTATTTTGAGATGTCTCAAAATAAATCTTCATACACGTGGCAACCCAGTAGCGAGCAGCGCAAAGGCCCACATCTTCCACCAAACCTGAACCTCTGACTCATGTCCATCCAAAACCCTCATCCCATCTTCCCCCGTCTACATCTCCACTCCTCGCCCTCCTTCCCCACCTCTCCCTCGTCCCTTCCGTCCTCCCCCTCCCCTCTCCCCCTTGTGCGCGCACCTCATCGTGCAGCACGAGCGTGGGCGGCTTGGGGAGGAAGAAGAAGCTCTTTTCGAGCGGGTAGAGGTACCCCTCCTCCGCCTTGAGCGACGTGCGCACCGCATACCCGTCGCTGTTGCTGCGGAACGACCCCGGCCGCGTCACCTTGGCGCCCGACAGCCCCCGCAGGATCTGAGCAAACACCTCGTGCACCAGGCCCTGCTTGGGGGTAGGGGGGAGGCACGGGGCACGGTGGGGCACGGTGGGGCATGGTGGGGCATGGTGGGACATGGGGGCCGCATGGGTAACCTTGGCGCCCGTGGCCCGACAGCCCCCTGGAGATGTGAGCGAACACCTCGTGCACCAGGCCCTGTGTGTATGTGCACCAGGCCCTGTGTGTATGTGCACCAGGCCCTGTGTGTATGTGCACCAGGCCCTGTGTGTATGTGCACCAGGCCCTGTGTGTATGTGCACCAGGCCCTGTGTGTATGTGCACCAGGCCCTGTGTGTATGTGGGGGAAAGGGACGTGGGGGGCACGAGTGGGGGCACGGTGGGGGAAAGCGGGGCACAGTGGGGGCAAGGGGGGGCATGGTGGGACATGGTGGGGCATGGTGGGGAATGGTGGGGAATGGTGGGGCATGGTGGGGCATGGTGGGGCACGCTGTGGGTGGTGTAAATAGCTGTGGAAGCATTGGCTCATACCGTTGGCAGACCATGTGCGGGCAAAAAGCAACCTTGGCATGCTCGTCTGACCTTGGCATGCTCGTCTGACCTTGGCATGCTCGTCTGACCTTGTACACGGGCTGTAGGCGGTCCTCACCTTGTACACGGGCTGCAGGCGGTCCTTGTACTTGGTGGTGAGCAACTCGTCGCTCAGTGACAGCCCGCCCTCAAACGTCTCCTCGTTCGGGAACTGTCAACATGTGCACACACACACAGGCAGGCAGGCAGAAACAGAGGGAACGGCATGGGTGGAGCGTGGAGCACAATGCATGGAGTAGGGAGGCAGCATGGCCCACATGAGGCAGCATGGCCCACACGAGGCAGCATGGCCCACACGAGGCAGCATGGCCCACACGAGGCACAGAGCAGCAGCAGAGGAGATATGTGCGGCGGAGCATGGGGGCATGGAGTGGTGGAGGGAGGTGGAAGGTACGAGTGCATGCAGCATGCATCGACCTTGCGCTGCAGGGTGCCAGAGAACGTTGGGAGCAGTGTCGTGAAATGTGGTTGCAAGGGGTGGGTGGGGCGCACCTGCAGCACGATGTGAGGGTAGAGCGTCTGGCCCTTGCGGATGGGTGTGTCCAGTGTGACCACCACGAACGTGTGCGGCTGGTTGGCCTGCATGCCGCATGGCACAGCACCCGGCGACACAGAGACACAGAGAGAGGCGATGGAGGTTAAAAGCGGCACGGCATGGTGGTGGGCGAAAGCCCTCATGACAGCAGCAGTGAGCATTGACCATCGTATGTGGTAGCGGGTATGGTTCAGCAGGCGGCTCGACCCCGCAAGCACCACGGCTGCAGCATGCAGTGCTGCCCGCCTGCCGTGCCATGGCACCATCTGGGCTGCTGCTGCACTGCAAAGCATTTCTGGCAATGACAGAAGCCCAGCGACACATCTTGGGCAGCACGAAGAGGCTCACCTTGGGCAGCACGAAGAGGCTCACCTTGGGCAGCACGAAGAGGCTCACCTTGGGCAGCACGAAGAGGCTCACCTTGGGCAGCACGAAGAGGCTCACCTTGGGCAGCACGAAGAGGCGCGCGAGGTTCTTGTACTGGATCTTGAAGTCGACAGCCATGCCCTGCAGGCGCACGTGGCTGACGTGCAGCTCCACCTTGAAGCGGCCCCTGGGCGTGAGGATGTGCACGCCCTCAAACTCCACCACCGCCTCGTCGCCCGATGGCCCCACGTCCGCGCGCGCCAGGATCTGCTCCTGGAATATCTGGTGGGGGGCCGGGGCCAGGGGGTGGCACCGGGGATGAAGTGGGTGGGGCGAGGAGCAGGAGGTGGGTGGCAGGAGGTGGCACCGTTCCATAGCAGCACGGGTTTGTGGGGCAGCATGCGGGGCGGGTAGAGTGTGTGTGTGCGTGTGAGGGACGGCGCGTGCGCAGAGGGGGGGAGGCTTGACGGGCACATGGTGCATGCGTGGCATTGGCGAGCACGGCAGGCAGCATCTCCCGTGAGTGGAGTGGAGTTTGCTATGACGGAAAGGAATGTGGTGAGGGGGCGATGATGGCAGCATGGTGCATGGCAGGCACGGCGGGCATGAGATGAGAAGGAGCCTCCGCGTTGACTCGCCCTCTCATGGCCTCCTGCTTGCTGTGCCCGGCTGCCAGTGCTGGCCTGGCGCAAGGCATTTGTGTGCGCGAGACAGGGGTGTGGGAACGGATGGGGCTAGCGGGAACGGCGACAGGGAGTGGCAGTGCAGAGGGATAGGGAGTGACATGGTGAGCTTGCCTAGGCGGGAGGCTTGCCTGGGCGGAGGGCTTGCCTGGGCGGAGGGCTTGCCTGGGCGGAAGGCTTGCCTGGGCGGAGGGCTTGGGTGTGGGGGCGTGGCTGACCTGTGCGGAGGGCTTGTCGTCGGTGCCAACGAAGGTGGTGTTGGACGTTGGTACGTGAAAACTCATCTCCACCAACATGTCCTTCTGTTATGCCAAGGGGTGATGCAGTGCCTCATGCACAGGTAGACACACACACACACTCACACACTCACTCACACACACACTCACACACACTCACACACACACATACACACACACACATACACACATACACACACACACACATACACACACACACACATACACACACTCACACACACACATACACACACATACACACACACACACACAGAGGTACACACACACAGAGATACACACACAAAAAGGTACACACACAGAGGCACACAGAGGCACAAACTCAGGCACACACACAGCCACACACAGAGAGGCACACACTGAGATGCACACACACATGCGGTTAGGTCAGACGAAACAGCACTCTTAAATTGGTTAAAGAGTTGCTGCCAGCCCCTCTCGCGTGCTAGTCCCTCTCGCGTGCTAATCCCTCTCGCGTGCTAATCCCTCTCACGTGCTAATCCCTCTCACGTGCTAATCCCTCTCACGTGCTAATCCCTCTCACGTGCTAATCCCTCTCGCGTGCTAATCCCTCTCGCGTGCTAATCCCTCTCGCGTGCTAATCCCTCTCGCGTGCTAATCCCTCTCACGTGCTAATCCCTCTCACGTGCTAATCCCTCTCGCGTGCTAATCCCTCTCACGTGCTAGTCCCTCTCGCGTGCTAATCCCTCTCGCGTGCTAATCCCTCTCGCGTGCTAATCCCTCTCGCGTGCTAATCCCTCTCACGTGCTAATCCCTCTCACGTGCTAATCCCTCTCACGTGCTAATCCCTCTCACGTGCTAATCCCTCTCGCGTGCTAATCCCTCTCGCGTGCTAATCCCTCTCGCGTGCTAATCCCTCTCGCGTGCTAATCCCTCTCGCGTGCTAATCCCTCTCGCGTGCTAATCCCTCTCGCGTGCTAATCCCTCTCGCGTGCTAATCCCTCTCGCGTGCTAATCCCTCTCGCGTGCTAATCCCTCTCGCGTGCTAATCCCTCTCGCGTGCTAATCCCTCTCGCGTGCTAATCCCTCTCGCGTGCTAATCCCTCTCGCGTGCTAATCCCTCTCGCGTGCTAATCCCTCTCGCGTGCTAATCCCTGTGATGCGAAAGACGCTCAGAGGACGCTGCGTCCTGCGTCTGGACGCAGCGTCTGGACGCTAGGACGCAAGACGCGCGTCCAGACGCAGGACGCAGATCGAAAATTTTTCGGGCTGCCCCGATTTTTTTTTTTTCCAGATTACGAATTTCAATCTCGAGATTTCGACGCGACTGTCGAAATCGCGAAATTTTGACCCCCCATTGCCCAATTCGACATTGAAAAACAGCCCCCCCCCAACATTTCATAACCCCCCATGCAACAATTGAATTCCAAATACCTCTCAACCACTTCACATCTAGAAAACCCAACCAGAGTGCCTACCACCAAGCCCATTTAGCAATCCAACCAAGTCATTTCTCATTTCACCCACCCAACCAATTCTCTTTCGAAAACCCTAGAGGTTTTAGCCTACAAGCATAGCTTAGCTCCATTATGGCTTCCTCAAGCAACCCTACGTCATCTAACGCATCTAGGGATGTTCATGCCGAGGACGAGTCTCCCCCGCAGCGTTTCACTAGTGATGGGGTGGAGAAGAAACCGCAAAAGCCCAAACACCATATTTAATGGGATGAGATGACTGGTTGCCTGCATGCAGTGCTGTGGTGGTAGTTTAATAGTATGCGTGTTCTTCAGTGATACGATAAACTGTGTATGTGACCTTGGGACATGTGTGTGACAATACGTGACGTGACTCACCTTAATCTTGAGATTTGGGGGAAAATTTGATGTTGGGGCCAAGTTTGCCTTGAAAGTGTGGAACGTCTCCCCCCCCCCCCCCTCATCCCATGCCCTATAACAAGCTTTTTTGCCTGCCCGGGGGTTTTTTTTGCCTGCCCGGGACTGCGTCTTTTGGTGCGTCTTTCTGGTCCTGGTGAAGCGTCCTGCGTCCGGACGCATGCGTCCAGACGCATGCGTCCAGGACGCAGGACGCGTCTTTCGCATCATAGGCTAATCCCTCTCGCGTGCTAATCCCTCTCGCGTGCTAATCCCTCTCGCGTGCTAATCCCTCTCGCGTGCTAATCCCTCTCGCGTGCTAATCCCTCTCGCGTGCTAGTCCCTCTCGCGTGCTAATCCCTCTCGCGTGCTAATCCCTCTCGCGTGCTAATCCCTATCGCGTGCTAATCCCTCTCACGTGCTAATCCCTCTCACGTGCTAGTCCCTCTCGCGTGCTAATCCCTCTCGCGTGCTAATCCCTCTCGCGTGCTAATCCCTCTCGCGTGCTAATCCCTCTCGCGTGCTAATCCCTCTCGCGTGCTAATCCCTCTCGCATGCTAATCCCTCTCGCGTGCTAGTCCCTCTCGCGTGCTAATCCCTCTCGCGTGCTAATCTCTCTCGCGTGCTAATCCCTCTCGCGTGCTAATCCCTCTCGCGTGCTAATCCCTCTCGCGTGCTAGTCCCTCTCACGTGCTAATCCCTCTCGCGTGCTAATCCCTCTCGCGTGCTAATCCCTCTCGCGTGCTAATCCCTCTCGTGTGCTAATCCCTCTCGCGTGCTAGTCCCTCTCGCGTGCTAATCCCTCTCGCGTGCTAATCCCTCTCGCGTGCTAATCCCTCTCGCGTGCTAATCCCTCTCGCGTGCTAATCCCTCTCGCGTGCTAATCCCTCTCACGTGCTAGTCCCTCTCGCGTGCTAATCCCTCTCGCGTGCTAATCCCTCTCACGTGCTAATCCCTCTCACGTGCTAATCCCTCTCACGTGCTAATCCCTCTCACGTGCTAATCCCTCTCGCGTGCTAATCCCTCTCACGTGCTAGTCCCTCTCGCGTGCTAATCCCTCTCGCGTGCTAATCCCTCTCGCGTGCTAATCCCTCTCGCGTGCTAATCCCTCTCGCGTGCTAATCCCTCTCACGTGCTAATCCCTCTCGCGTGCTAATCCCTCTCGCGTGCTAATCCCTCTCACGTGCTAATCCCTCTCACGTGCTAATCCCTCTCACGTGCTAATCCCTCTCGCGTGCTAATCCCTCTCACGTGCTAGTCCCTCTCGCGTGCTAATCCCTCTCGCGTGCTAATCCCTCTCGCGTGCTAATCCCTCTCGCGTGCTAATCCCTCTCACGTGCTAATCCCTCTCACGTGCTAATCCCTCTCACGTGCTAATCCCTCTCACGTGCTAATCCCTCTCGCGTGCTAATCCCTCTCGCGTGCTAATCCCTCTCGCGTGCTAATCCCTCTCGCGTGCTAATCCCTCTCGCGTGCTAATCCCTCTCGCGTGCTAATCCCTCTCGCGTGCTAATCCCTCTCGCGTGCTAATCCCTCTCGCGTGCTAATCCCTCTCGCGTGCTAATCCCTCTCGCGTGCTAATCCCTCTCGCGTGCTAATCCCTCTCGCGTGCTAATCCCTCTCGCGTGCTAATCCCTCTCGCGTGCTAATCCCTCTCGCGTGCTAATCCCTCTCGCGTGCTAATCCCTCTCGCGTGCTAATCCCTCTCGCGTGCTAATCCCTCTCGCGTGCTAATCCCTCTCGCGTGCTAATCCCTCTCGCGTGCTAATCCCTCTCGCGTGCTAATCCCTCTCGCGTGCTAATCCCTCTCGCGTGCTAATCCCTCTCGCGTGCTAGTCCCTCTCGCGTGCTAATCCCTCTCGCGTGCTAATCCCTCTCGCGTGCTAATCCCTCTCGCGTGCTAATCCCTCTCGCGTGCTAATCCCTCTCACGTGCTAGTCCCTCTCGCGTGCTAATCCCTCTCGCGTGCTAATCCCTCTCGCGTGCTAATCCCTCTCGCGTGCTAATCCCTCTCGCGTGCTAATCCCTCTCGCGTGCTAGTCCCTCTCGCGTGCTAATCCCTCTCGCGTGCTAGTCCCTCTCGCGTGCTAATCCCTCTCGCGTGCTAATCCCTCTCGCGTGCTAATCCCTCTCGCGTGCTAATCCCTCTCGCGTGCTAATCCCTCTCGCGTGCTAGTCCCTCTCACGTGCTAATCCCTCTCGCGTGCTAATCCCTCTCGCGTGCTAATCCCTCTCGCGTGCTAATCCCTCTCGCGTGCTAATCCCTCTCGCGTGCTAGTCCCTCTCGCGTGCTAATCCCTCTCGCGTGCTAATCCCTCTCGCGTGCTAATCCCTCTCGCGTGCTAATCCCTCTCGCGTGCTAATCCCTCTCGCGTGCTAATCCCTCTCGCGTGCTAGTCCCTCTCGCGTGCTAATCCCTCTCACGTGCTAATCCCTCTCACGTGCTAATCCCTCTCACGTGCTAATCCCTCTCGCGTGCTAATCCCTCTCGCGTGCTAATCCCTCTCGCGTGCTAATCCCTCTCACGTGCTAGTCCCTCTCGCGTGCTAATCCCTCTCGCGTGCTAATCCCTCTCGCGTGCTAATCCCTCTCGCGTGCTAATCCCTCTCGCGTGCTAATCCCTCTCGCGTGCTAATCCCTCTCGCGTGCTAATCCCTCTCGCGTGCTAATCCCTCTCGCGTGCTAATCCCTCTCGCGTGCTAATCCCTCTCGCGTGCTAATCCCTCTCGCGTGCTAATCCCTCTCGCGTGCTAATCCCTCTCGCGTGCTAATCCCTCTCGCGTGCTAGTCCCTCTCGCGTGCTAATCCCTCTCGCGTGCTAATCCCTCTCGCGTGCTAATCCCTCTCGCGTGCTAATCCCTCTCGCGTGCTAATCCCTCTCACGTGCTAGTCCCTCTCGCGTGCTAATCCCTCTCGCGTGCTAATCCCTCTCGCGTGCTAATCCCTCTCGCGTGCTAATCCCTCTCGCGTGCTAATCCCTCTCGCGTGCTAGTCCCTCTCGCGTGCTAATCCCTCTCGCGTGCTAGTCCCTCTCGCGTGCTAATCCCTCTCGCGTGCTAATCCCTCTCGCGTGCTAATGCCTCTCGCGTGCTAATCCCTCTCGCGTGCTAATCCCTCTCGCGTGCTAGTCCCTCTCACGTGCTAATCCCTCTCGCGTGCTAATCCCTCTCGCGTGCTAATCCCTCTCGCGTGCTAATCCCTCTCGTGTGCTAATCC